CCCTGGGGCCACACTGAGCTGGAGCCCTGCGGTGGGGGCAGAGCACACTGCAGGTGTCCCCACCCGGGAGGCACCCACAGGCTGTGGGCACGGCCTCTGCTGCCTGGTGGATGCCCCAGACAGTTCCAGAGGTGCCCACAGGAGTCCTCCAGGGTCTGGGCAGCTTCCTTCCTCTGCCTTGGGGGGGCAGCTGGGGGTGGGTAGAGCAGAGGCCTGGCCACCTCACCTCGCGGTCCAGCCCCACTTGCACGGTGCGGATCTCGCCCGTGTGCTCATCAATGCTGAAGAGCCCGGGGCTGCCCTGCTCCAGGATGGAGTACCGCAGCGCCGCGTTGTCTGTGTCGGGGTCGTCGGCATCCGTGGCCTCAGCCCTGGTCACATAGGTGCCTGGGGGGACAGGGAGGCATGGGAGGACGCCCCCAGGGCTGCCGTGGGGATCTGGACCGACAGCTGCCCACAGATCAGGCCTAGAACCTGCTGCCCGCTGAGGCTGACTGCGCACACGAGTCCTCTCATCCAGGATGCCCCGCTGGCCCTGCAGCCCACCTGGACTTGTGAACTCCACCACTGAAGGACGGTGGGCAGCTGGTCGCAGAGGCTCAGGTGCCAGGTGAGAGCAGCACCCTGGGGAGCCCAGCCCCAGGGAGGCGTGGGTACAGGGGTGCCGAGCAGAGCCAGCACTGATGAGCCCCGGGTGCTAGCTCGCCAGGGCCTGAGGTGCTGCGACTGACCGTGGCCCGGGGCAGGGCCCTGCTTCCTGATTTACCCACAGTTCCCTGCAGCTCAGGGGTATGAGCCTTAAGCCAGGGAGGCAGAGTGACAAGGACAGGCTTCCACACACCCTGGGGCAGCTCAGCCAGCAAATCTTTGCTGTGCGTGTCTCAAGATCCACGTGTTCAATGCACGGTGGCAAATGTCAGCCACCATCCAGCCCAGGAGGGGCCACACCTGAGCATACAGAGCTCCTGACCAGGTAAATGCTGGTGAAGCCATGGGCAGCACTGGGCAGGTGTCTTGGAGCACAGGCTGGCATCCTGGCAGGCCTGGGTGCTCTCCGGCCAGCCAGGTTTCTCCCATCAGGACATCAGGACAATGGCCAAGGGTCTAGAAGGACCCTGTGTTTGGAAGCAGCGGGGCCACTGGGAGCTGGCGTGTTGTGTATGCCCTGCACACACACGGCCTCACACCCGTCCGCGCGTGTTACAGACACAACTGTTAGAGAGGCCCAGACAGCAAGTGGCTCGGTGGCCCACTGACCACATCTGGACACAGTGCTGGAGGGGGGGTGTGCAGAACAAGGGCTCCTCGGGCCACAGAAGCAACGTGGGAAGCTGGACACACCTGGAGGGAGCGCCCAGATGGCGGGGAGCCGCCTGCCAAGTGGAAGGGGGGTCCAAACCACCCTCCCCACTACCCCAGGTTCAGGGGCCTCCAGTGAAGGACGGAGCTGGGAGTCACACAGGCTCCACCCAGAGAAGAACTGGCACCCACCTGCACCCAGTGACAGGTTGATCTCTGCCCCAAGGCCACAAGGTCACCCCCCAGGAACACAGGGCCCAGGTCACGTCACCACCCCAACCCGTGCTCCAAGACGCCAGTGTCTAGAGGAACTAGAGGCTGAGAACCTGATCCCATTAAGAGGATGGGCACCGGACTCCAGGGTGGAGCTTGCTAGTGGGTCCTGCAGAAGCAGACCCTGAGCTGCCTGCTGCTGGGGTTAAGGGCCTGGGCACCCAAGCCCACCCTGCAACTCACCCCCAGGGCATCTGGGGTACACTGATCCTCCTCTTTCCATAGAACAGGAGCAAGACAGCCACAAAGACACAGAGAAGAAAAGAGCTGAACTTTCCAGGTGGGGTGTGCCCGCCTGTGATGGGGGAGGCCGAGGCAGGAGGAGCTCAAGTTCAAGGCCAGCCTCAGCAATTTAGCAAGACCCTAAGCAAACTCAGTGAGACTCTGCCTCAAAATAGAAAGGGCTGAGGATGTGGCTCAGTGGTAGAGCATGCCGGTTCAGACCTGGAACAAAAATAATCAAAGAGCGAAACCAAAATAACCCAAAAAAAGGACAAAGGGAACAGAGCTGCACCTGACGGGTTCCCAGGACAGGGCACGGCCAGGGCCAGCATGTGGCCACGGTCCCAGGAGCCCCAGATACAGGGTCTGGGCCCTGCTGCCAGGGGGGTCTCCCTGAGCACACAGGAAGGGTGAGACCACCACGCACACAGGCGAGGGCACCCACCGACAGACAGCGGGGCGTGGGGACTGGCGCAGCACCCTGGGAAGCGCCCAGAGGCCCTGCATGCTGAGGCCCTTTGGTCAGTCACTGAGGGGTCTGAGCAGAGGCCAAGGCCTGGGAGGCCCAGGCTCACCCAGGACCCCACCCAGCAACTGCCTCCGTGTCCGCAGGTGACCACCAGGCTGAGGCTGGCAGGCAGCTCTGGTGGCCGCTGAGTAAGGTGCGGGGCCTGGTGGAGGCAGGGTGGCCCGCAGCCAGGTGCGGAGCTCGGAGAGGAAGGAAGCCAGGGCCCAGGGCCACCCGGGGCACAGACGTGACCAGCACCCTCTGGTCAGGAATGTCGTTATTTTGCAGGGCACGGTGGTCACACCTGTGATCCTGGCATGAGGACAAAAGGCTGAGGCCAGCCTGGCACCTGAGGAGACCCTGGCTCATGGGGTTGGGAGGGAGATTCCGTGGTGAGCAGCCAGGTTCAGTGCCTCGGGAGAAGGAGGGACCTCGGGGACACCTGGTGAAGGCTGTGGAGCAGGTGGGGTATGGAGGGTCCTGGGCTCTGATCTCGGTTTTGCTGCGAGCGTTATTACTGACGCACGCAGAAATGCCCGGTGCCAGGTCTGCTGGGCAGCTCAGGACACGGAGGCAGAAAGAGGAAGAAGCTGAAACGCTTCGCACGTCCTTGTGATGTGTGCGCAGGGATTCCCTGAAACTCTCCTGCAGGCGTGAGATTGTTCCAGAATTCAAAGAAAAGCAAAAAGTTATCACTTTGAATCTTGAAAAGCAAAAAATGGTGTGAAACAGAATCAACGTGGGCTGACGCCAATCTGCAGGCCGGAGGCTCCCGGGGTCTGGCCGTGCTGGGGAACCTCTGGGCACATGGGCAGTGGGCTACGCGGGCTGAACCGACCCTGAGAGGTCCCTTTACGCCGTGCTGGGCCTGAGCCCAGGGCCTGGTGCACGCCAGGCCCAGGCTGAGAGGCCAGCTCAAGGAGACCCTGCACTGAGGGCCTCCTGACGGCCTCTCCTCGGTGGCTGCCGGGGACCTGGCCGGCCTCACCTGGGGCGGCGCCCTCCAGCACGTGACCCGTGAACGCCTCCTGCAGGAAGACGGGCCGGTTGTCATTCTGATCCACAACCACGATCTCCAGGTCGGTGGGGTCCTCCAAGGTAGATCCTCCCAGGTCCAGGGCAAAAGCCCTTAGCTGTCCACACAGAGGGCAGGGCTGGCGCTGCAGGCCTCGGGCCATGCAGCCTGGCACCCTCTGGAGCAGTGAGGCCACGAGGCGAGGCACGTGCTGCAGCCAGCGAGTGTCCCCTGAGGGGGCTTGCCGTCCCCACCGCCCGCCTCCCCTCTTGCCCGACCCCAGGAAGCCACAGCTGCCCACGTGTGCCCGGAGCAGGGCCCCACCAGGCTTCCAGCCCCTCCTCCTGAAATGACTTCCAACTCCCCTGCCCACGCGTGTGCCACCGCCTCTCGTCCTTTGGAGAAGGGCCTGCTGCGATTCCCAGGTTAGAGGACTCTCCAGGCTGGCCCCGTGGCAGGCACCTCTCCCAGCTCCTTGGGGGCCAAGGAGGGGAAGCACTTGAGGCCAGAAGGGCAACACCGAGAGGCCCTGTCCCCCCAAATAACACGTGCTCTCCCAGGACCCCCTGCGTGGGAAGCCAGCCAGTTCTCACATCTGGGGAAGGATCCAGGAGGAAAGCGGCTGGAAGCCCTTCCCCCGACGGCCCGCAGGGCACTGTGAGGGTGGCCGGCTGCCGTCTGCCGGCCGCCAGCCCACCTGAAGGAGGCCCTCACCTTCCTCTGCGGGGTGGCCCCTGGCCAATCCCATCCCCAAGAACAGTCACCGCTGCGAGGACTGACTCGTGGGGATTCTTGAACGTGTCCACCTCACCAGATGGAACCAGGACTGTCCACCCTCTGGAGGCCCACCCAGCCCCCACAGGCCCTGGGCACACCCTCTGTGAAGTGGGAACACCTCAGGCTGCAGGACGACGCCCCAACCCACCCCCGACGAGCTCAGGACCCAGCCGGCCTCGGCCTGCCAGAGGCTAAGGGGCAGGCCCACCCTGAAGCGGTCGGTCTGCTCCCTGTCCAGCATGGCGTTGAGGAACACCCGCCCAGTGAACTTGTCGATGGAGAAGACGCCGCGGGGCTCCTCGTCCACGCCGGGCCCCTGGATGCTGTAGATGACGCTGCCCAGCTGCTGCTTGTCCGACTTGATCTGCAGGCGGGAGAGGCTGGGAGAGGCCCGCGGAGACTGCCCCCAACCCTCAGGGTCCCCCAGGGAGAGAGGGTGGGCTGGAGGGCAGCCTGGCATGGCCCACAGTCCTGAGCCCTGTGCTGGGCCCAGCCCCTGAGTCTGTGGGGACCCCAGGACCTCCTGGGGCCTGTGAGTGAAGGACGAGAGAGGGGGGCCTTCCCGAGCCCCTCCCACTGCCTGCTGGGCCCGGTCAGCAGGACACCTTCAGGGAATGGGGACACCGGGTGCGTTCGCCTCCAGGACCCACCGGGATGAGCCAGTCTCCTCCAGGGCCTCTACCCTCACCTGCACCAGGGGGTACGGGAGCCGCTTGTGATTCTCTGACACGCTGATGGGCGGGATGACCCAGGCTCTCCGGACGCGGCCCAGCGCAGACGCGGGGCGCCAGGGGTACAGGGTGCTGGGCTGCAGCCCAGCTACCCCCTGGGACAGGCCAAGGCTCTGCAACCAAGACGAGCCACGGTCAAGCGGGAGGCTCTTAGTGGGAGCTTCCTCACCACCTGGCCGCATCCCTGGAGGGCACAGGTGGAGGGCCCCGCAGGCACACCCCCAGGTGCTGAGCCCCAACCCCCAGGAATCTGGGCCACCTTCATGGTGGCCCCAGCCCCTGGGGTTGTTTCCTGGTAGGTGGTTGGTAGGAGGGTGGGGGCATGAGGGGCCCCACTGCGCCCAGAGCAGACTCAGGTGCCCCTGGCGGGGAGAGGGCTCAGTGGGGCCCAGGAAGGGCCTAAGGCCCTTCCACTTTGTGCCCAGCCCTAGCCAAGGTGGAGCTGCCCCCAGGAGGACGTGGCTGGGAGAGAAGGGGGAGGAGCTGCAGCGGGTGGGCATGGAGCTTGGAGGGCAGGGTGGGCAGGGTGGGCAGGGCACCCTCCCACAGGTCGGCCTTTAGAGGCAGGGGTCAGGGGGGTGACATGGCCATCCTCCCACAGCTCTGAGGGGCAGGGGGGTGGTGGGTGCAGGGGGGCTTGGCCAGGTGGGGGCTGGCCGGGTTTGGCTCTGTCCTCCCCGAGCACTCAGCAGGGCAGGGGCACGCAGAGGTCACCAGCCTGCCAGCTCCCTGCCTGCGGGCCTGGGCCTTCTCCTCTGGTCGTCCCTCCCAGTCCAGTAGCACGTTCCCTGATGCTGGAACTTCCTGGGTGGGAGCGCCCCACGACCACAGCTGGGCAGGGCCAGGAAGCCCTGGGCTGGGGCCCGGTGCCAGCGGGTGCTGTGGTTTCAGCTCTCTTCAGCAGAAGTGGCTGCACCAGGCCAGGTGCCCAGCGCTCGCATGCCCAGCCTCAGCAAGGTGGCGGAGGCCTGGGGTCCACACCTGCTCTCCCCAGCCTCTGCCCTTGTCGGCAGGACCTGGGGGCTCCCTGGGAGGAGGCCCAGGCTGCTGCCAACCTGGCTCTCTGCCTCCACCAGGGCAGGAGGGTGCCCGCCCCAGCGCCCTTCCTGGGGTGGCAGAGGGCAGGGACCTCCCGGGCCCTTCCACTTTGTGCCCAGCCAGAGCCAAGATGGAGTTCCAACTGTGCCCGCACCCACGGAGGTTCCTGCCAGGTGTGACAGAGGCGTCAGCAGCCCTGGTGAGGACTCACAGGTGACCTGCCCCCCTCCCCTCTGTGACACGGGGAGCATGGGGCAGAGTGGGCCAAACCAAGGTCACCCTCCTCCCTGCAGGACCACCCTGTCAGCACTCCCTCCTAACAACAGGGGACAGTGCTCCCTGCTGCCACCCTCTGGGTGGGTGGACGCCCGGCACCCTGGCTTCCCCTCAGGACTGCAGTCTGTGGGGCTGGGACACGGTGGGGCCTCAGGAGGACAGCACCCGTCAGTGCCCGGGGGCTGCCTTAGGGCCAGGTCAGGAGGGAGAAGCCGCAGAGCAGGTGACCTAACTGTGACCTAATGGCAGGTGACCCTGCAGAGCCAGGCCTAACTGTGCCTCCTACGTGCCTCCTGCGCCCACCCCGCCGGCAACCTGTCCCCACCCAGTGCCAGGGGCTCCATCCTGCTCGCGGCAGCCCTTGCCTACGCCCTGTGCTGGCACAGTGACACATGGCAGCAATATCCCAACAGAAGCAGCCTCCCTGGAGGCCTGAGCCCCCACTGGCAGGACCTCAGGCCCCTCCTCCAAGGCCCTTCTGGGGCAGTAGAGCTGCCAGGGCTCTGGTCCTTGCACCCATTGCCCCTGGGAGTCCAGAGAGGAGTGGACCCTCTTCGTAGAAGGCAGGCTGGCGGGGACAGGCCAGGGTGCTCAGGCCTGAGGCCTGTCGGCCACTCTCCCGCCCCAGAGGCACTCGGAGGCTGACAGATGGCAGTGCTGGCCTCTGAGCCTGCCAAAGCTGGCCAAGCACAAGCCACCTCCAGGTCAGGGCCACATTCCTGCCAAGCGCCAACCTGCCTGCCCGGCATGGGGGTCTCTGTCACAGCCTCGATGGCACAGGCTGTTCCAGAGCCTCCCTGGACCAGTTTAGGGCTGGGACCTAGTGTGGGCCCTCCTCTCCTTTGTCCCCCGTGGTCCTCACGACCCCCATAAAGCAGGTGACCACCCACGTCAGCTCCATCAGTCTGACCCCCTTGGTTCAGAGGGGCACGCTCAGCAGGAACCTGGCGACCGAGGGGCTCAGGTCTGTGCACACTCACATGGCGGGGGCCACTCGGCCCTGCCTGGGCTGCCAAACCTGGGCTGGTGCCCCACCCCGCCAGCTGCCTTGCTGGATGCCCACTGACTTGCCCTGGCCACAGCCCAAGTTCACAAGGTCAGCAGAACCACAGAGCCCTGGCAGGGCCGCTGGCTCAGATCAGAAGCCATGATGGGTGTGGGTGGGTGACTAGTGGCCAGCCAACGCCCGCTCCCAGGGGCATTCGAGCGGCTTACTCCCTGTCCTGCCCCCACAAGACGTGGCTGGCTGAAGGCAAGGCCTGGGCAAAGCCACATGGACACAGCCAGCTCACAGAGACCCTGCACCTGGGGCAGGGGGCAAAAGGGACATTTTGTGGATGTGTGCTCCTGGACTGCTGCCCACTCCTCTGTTCCCCACGCCAAACCAGATCAACAGACATCATGGACCCTCTTCCCAAGTAGGTGCCCACGATACCCCCAAGCTTTGACCTTGTTCTTAGCCAAGAGCCTGGACAGTGTGGAAGCCCTGGGAACACCAGGACCCTGCCCCAGTCCTAGCTGCTGGGCCAACTCCCTACTGGACCAAGCTCCTGCCATGTGCCAAGTGTCCGCTCTGGCTAGGCAACTCTGCTGAGAGGCAGGGACACCAGCAATTCCTGGTGACCTGAGGGGAGTGTGTCCAGCCCAGCCAGGCCCTGAGCCTGGAC